CCCCCCCCCCCCCCCCCCCCCCTCTTCTATCCCAGTACCATTTACCTGGGAAGTATTATGGGTGGCTTAAGCTTGGGCTTCTAAGAGCAGTGAGCACGAATAATGAGAGGCGTGATTACAGACTACATATTTAAAATGAATGGAGTAATCAAGATGATAACGGACTCTGCGAATACATAGCAAAATAGTCAAGATCAAAATCGGCTCAATAGTTTTACATGAAATGACTTTTGTCAGATTCCGCTAGTAGTTTAAAAAAATCACGAAATTAAAGCAAGTAACTAGATTTGTGGGGTTCTTTCACGCCGGTGAAGTCATCCAAATAAAAAAAAAACGATTATTTCCTTTGCTGAGCCAACCCTTCAAAACATTAATTTTATTATGCAAAAACACAAACACAGAAAAAAAGATATCAGGATACCTTCAAGAATGAACATCCGAACAAGTCGTGCAATAGCTTTGACTAGAGGATTACACTTGCAGGCGACTGGAGCAGGTTCCTCATTAGTAGTATGAGGCGACCTGCAGCTTGCTACCCATTATCACTACCAGGTCACTCTTTTTTGAGTCTTAACGAGCTCTATATTCGAAGGATGTTGCGAGATGAGTTCTCTTTTCAATAACTCTTCCTATGATACTCGACAATTCGATCGCGATCACGAAAAGCGAGGGATACTATGTTGTAATAACCAAAACGGTAGGAAAGGATATCAAGTCCCAGATGTAGCAGGAAGGATTGTCAAGCAATCTTCATCAGAAGTAAAGAGAAAAGGAGGTGGAGAGGAAAGAAGGACCTGGCCTTAATTTCCTAAACCCCAAATCACTCCAACAATGATTCCTTCCATCCTTCGACTCTGCTGTAGAGAAGATCACTTGCATCTGTAAGATTCAACCGGATTGATTTGGTTCATCTATCACGAGTCGCTTTCATACCTCTTCTTTTACCTGTTTGTACCTCTTCCCTAACTACCATCCTGACCTAGAATCTTGAACCTAAGAAACCTTCAGTTTCCTGGTGTTAAAAAACCATCGTCTGTAGAGCTTTGAGAACTGAATTTTGCAAAATAGTTTTTTCATATACGAGTTATCTGAATCAATTAGTACCCTATTAAGCCCATCGCATAACGCGGTACCGCTCAGTCGGATACTAGCTCCTACCAAACGACGAATATCTGAGAGTGATGCTCAAAAAAGGGAAGACACTGATGAAGAGGTATGCGTCAAAGAATAACTGTGTATTGTTGTACCATAATAGCTCTGAACTCCCTTTTTTCTATAAATGGAAAAGGTATTGAGGGCCAATCTCTTCGACACTAATGTGAATATTTTCAGAATGGAGAGGTTTCAAATCGTCCACAACCAGGAAGTTCGGAGTCTTTGGACCGACCATACCAAGGAAGTCATACAAATTCCGGGTACATATAAGAATAATCATTTTCTAGGCTGAAGATTATGATCAAGTTTAAAAATCGATATTTAGTCTGTATCAGAGTGGTACACAAGAAATCGACAATCCTTCAGTTGAATGGTCAAATCGAAAAGGCAAACAAAGCCCAAGTGAAATGATTTCCGTTTATACAGCGTACGAATGCGATTCGAATGATGGAACACCGATCCATCTTACTATTCAACAGAACACTACAAGTACAGAGGTTGAGCTATTCAATTATTCTAAAACTGACAATAATTGTTAACTTCATTCGTAGTCATTTCTACCGTGTCCCAATTGAGTGAACGCTTTCCAAGTCAAATTTGATATTAGTCCAACCTGCATGCATCAAATCTAGGTAAAAACATTCCTAATAACAATAGTTTAGTAGTAATATAAAATGAGAATAATATCACTATTCACCCATTTTGGAAATGATCATCATATGGGGCATCTGTCTCATTAGTTTTATAAAAACATATTTCATATTTAACTTGTACGGAGTATTTTACAGTAATTTTTCTAGTGATCTTCACTTTTGCATAAGCGCACCATATGGCAGATCATGCTGATCTTCATCTTGTCAGTACCGTCGGTTCCCCGATCTCGCCGACTCCAATACTCGTGCTCATGCATTTCTCGTTTTTGTAGCCTCTTGCTTTTTGCCAGCTACAACGTTTCTCCGAGATAACATTTTTATTTTTTTTTTGCCTCTAGTAACGATTAAGTATTAACGCTACCACCCAATCCTATTGTCTTCAAATCTGGAGTAAGCCATTTCTGGGGTTTCAGCTATAATAGGATCCCGGATACTGTCGCCAATGGTGAAGTTCGTTATGGTTGACGAGTTATGAAGAAACCTTCGACTTCGGACAGGACTGAGACTGGTACTTGCGGTATCCGGACATCGTGCTCTGATCCACTGTAAGGGATAAGAGCACAAGTACAGGTTCGAGTCCTGTCCGTGGCCGAATTTTTGTCCATAATTCGCCAACCTTGTGAGAGATTACCATACTTTCTTACCGTATCCGCAGTGCCATACGCTGCAGATTTTCACAAAAAGGCCCGAAATCTACGAATAATGAACAATTCTCTATTTCCCACTTCAACCATGAGTAGCAGCTGGCCTTAAATCCCCTTCCTTGTTATTATTTGGGCTGCGGATCAGCTCCATCAGCTTCGAAGTCTTGTAAGTTTTTTACTGCTTTCAAGAAAATAGTCCCCTTATAGTTACGTGAGCACTAACCCACAAGGTTTCTGTACCTTACTCTTCGTAATTAAAATTTTCTACAACATTGACAAGTAAAATAGTGCTGGAGTTGTTGGTTAGCCACTTGGTTTTTTTTTCACTGATGAGAAAATTCCACTGACTTGCAGAAATCTGGAACACTCTTTGAAACACGCTTTTTTCATCTTCTCGTCCAAAACTTGACAACGATCTTCTATTATGCACTGTAGTTACTAGATTGCGAGAACTGTTCTCACCTGTAATACAAAAAACCGTGGAAAGATCCTCCTATGATATCAGTTGAGCAGTAGCAGTGTATAGAGATGCTCATTCTTGAGGCTGAGGCAACTACGTAAGAAGAATATGTTCTCTTAAAATTTGCACAGTTCACCAAGTAATTTGGAAAACGTCCAGTCTTTTGTCGACACGGTGGAATCTACAGTATATCATGAAGTCTATGCTAGTCAGAGGAGTTTGAAGTCAATTTGGTTCAGGTTGTAAAGCTCGTGTTGGAGCAAGTGGCCAAAAAATCGCGATCCCCATCAGATAGCACAGAAGCGGCAAATGATTCGTGCAATTTTTGTCTGGTTGTAGTCGTGGGAACGAGAGAGCGACGATTGAAGGATAATTTCGCACTATGTCGGATACAGAGTCCGTGGAACAAAGGACGTCTCTACGTGCGAAGAAGAAGCGATCTGCTTGCTGCAGTTCGATATGGAAATGAAGCGCTTGTATAGCTGTTTGGTTACTTTAGAATTGAAATAAAATATATTTCATCCGATAAGTACAGTGGTAACGATCAAGAGCTGTGAAGTATTGTTGACTGCACAACTGGACTGGAATACTGCTTGAGATCCACCAAAGTGCAGGACATGCCGGGTATGTCGGGAATCCACTAGATGGAGAACTTGGTCGTTCAACCATCAGCTGATCAATAAAACCAGATCAATCAAACCCGTATCCCATCATATCAACACCTGTAACCCCTGGTCGCAATAACTGGTCAGAAACCCCTTGAAATTATAAAATTCAGCTTCTGCACAAGGAACAGCAACTCACCTCCATTTATTTCTTGATCAATGATAGGCATATCTATCGATCGACTTGTGGGGTCCTTTGCTATCACTCATCGAACGTTGCACTAGAAAAGCCTTGTAGGAATTACTTTACCGACTTCAAGTATGTGGTGCCCTTCACTAATAAGCTCATTCGTGCACGTTTACCAGTAAGTACGCGATTTCAACTATTACAACCACTATACAAGTATAAGCAGTAGTTTCCGAGAACTAAATGGCTCCATGCCAACGGTATTTTGAGAATGCGAAAAAACAATGAAATAATGCTCGTTTATTCTGTATCTCGATACAGGAACATTTATAGAATGTTCAATTAAATTTTACAATCAACTGACTGAATGACTTAAGAAGAAACATTACGTCTGGTAGGCGGATAAAGTGTTGATTAAATATACATCTACAATGTAAAAACGGATAAATATAAATCAACGTGTACCATTACGTTTTGCGGAAAAGTGGATGCCAAAAATCAGGTGTCTTGTCTGGATGACGTGAAAAAAGGGAGTGAGGGGGTTGATATATGACTGGGGGGAAAACCGATGAGAGTGCGGTATTCAGATGATGAGGACTGACTACTCATATTCATGGGGACAATGATTTGAATGAAAACAGTAAAGCTAGGTGTTCGGGTCTGTTTGGCGAACTTGTATTGGGGGAACAAACGCCTCATAAAATCACAAACGAGACAGACACAACAAATAAGCATTACATATACATATACGGTGACCAGAAACATTACAGTATATTAAAGTGGAACACATCAATCATTCGAGTCTACGTATTTAATGTCTGGAACTCTTTACTCGAATAGAATTCTAGAATATTAGGGAGAAATGAGCTTGCGCAGCACTACAGAACAAACATGTAAAGAAAAATTTATATAAAAAAACAAAGAAGGCGCAACTAATTAAACTAGGTACTCTAACCCAAAACGTATTTGATGAACCCTCCCAGATTAGCGAGACAGAGACGGTCCATTCAATTACATGGCTAGAAATCGCGCAAGTCTGGCATCAAGGACTAGAAGAGGATGGGGAGCTAAACATCAGCAATATTGGAAACCGATGACTAGATTTAGGTCATCAGCTTGACGTAGGAGTTGTAGTTGGACACATCACGCTTGAGGATCTCACGAACGGGACCCATGACACGCTCAAAACGGGCACGATCCAGTTTGATGCACTTCAGCGGGGTCTTGGCAACCACTGTGGCAGCACGAGGACGATCGAGTAGCAGGGCAATCTCACCTCAAATTGGAAGGCACAAGTGCTAGCAATATCTCTCTTTGGTCAAGGACACTCACTTGAACAGGCAATAAGGCATTGATGAAACGTGAAATGAAAAACCAAGTCCAACTCACCAAAGTAATCTGAGGAAGAGAGGTGGCCAACGACATCAAATGGTGCATCATCGCTTCGCTTTTGCAGGACATTGGCTTCACCTTCGAGGATGATAAAGAACTCGTCGCCCGGTTGCCCCTGAGAAAAGAAACGAGTGGATTCGTACTTGTTTGGGATAAATATGAAGCCAACAATCAAGTACCTGTTCAACAACATGGGTTCCCGGCTCAAAGTCACATCGTTCGAGGGCATCAGCAACATTTGCACGTTCCCATTTGTCGAGATCGGCTAAATACCACCGAATACTTTACTCAGCACAACAACAGTACAATACGACAAAAACTTTTGATGACGAGGAAATTGAACTTACCCAGAATTTGGACCTTTGAGAGGAATTCGTCGTACATCTTACGTTTTCGCATTACCGAACCCATCAAAATACGACGGTACGATAAGCGGTCAATGGCCCACAACTTGACGTCAGTCTGTTCAAGATAGATTCATTATGCATATTTCATTGGAAAACAAAATGAACAACAAAATATCATAGAACCCCATTAAAACGAGTTTTATCGATTAAAATTACAAATCAAATCACCTTTGCAACTACGGTAGCCGCTCTGGGTGTTCCATAAATGAGTGCCAACTCTCCAAACGATCCACCTTCATTGATAGTTAAGACAAATTCATTATTGACGAAGACATCGACAACCTGCAAAACAACTTTTTGAATGATGGATGCAAGGGGAACCAAGAACGTAGGCTCCTGCCCATGTTTTTTTAACAATTACGTCATTTCTGCTGTTTTGTAATATGACGGATAACATAGCATATCCCCAGAAACAAAAGATTGAAAGCTCAAATATGTTTTTGCAGTTTTTGTATAGCTTTTGCAAATATCTATCAATTCTAATGCTCACATCCAACCACCATGAGAAGGTTTAAAGCTAAGTTGAAGGGAAAACATACGCCTTTGTCGATAACGTAGAAATTATCTCCCTCTTCTCCTTGTTCGATTATCGTTTCACCAGCCTTCTTTTCTACAGGGAACATCGCATCGAACATCGTCTTAGCTTCATCCTCCTACAAAAAAAATAAGTCAATTGACAAAATTAATTTTACGTTGGTTGATTAACATTTGCTGAATTCAAAAATCTTCAAACCAAACACTCAACCTACCTCGAGGTGAGCGAAAAGCAAATTTTTGCTCATTGCCGCTTCGAGAGATTTTCGCGTCGCTTCATCTTTAGGAATAACAACCTGAAATTTTGACTTTCTAAAAACTGCTTTAGCAATACCCACACGAAAATGATTTGAAATCCCAAGTTGCTCTAGTTCAGTACCAATAATTTTAGCGTAAGCAGTGGTGAACTGTTTTACTCGATAGTTAGGATAGTTGCAAATTGACTTGTTAAACTACAATGCTCAAGCTAGTCGCACTCCTAATTCCTGAGACAAAGACCAATTACCAACTACTATAAGGGATGGGAGAAAGGAATATAAAGAAAAGTCTTCCATGCAATTACAGCGGAAGGTCCAGAAAAGGTATGTTATGCAACGTCAAAGCGACTCCTAAGAAACGAATCATCTGACAGCAGCTAAACAAACTAGTACACATTTCATGAGAAACGTTTGTTTACTTTTCATACCCCCATGCGATGGGAGAACTTTTTTTTCCTTCTACAAACAGTGCAGCAGGTTCGTGACCGCGATCGATCCTCCTGCCTAGCACAATGCGAACAACGAGTTAGTAATGGGAGTATGTACACAGATGCGATTGCCCTCTTTCTCGCTCTGAAGAATCCGCCAAGAAGAACCCAGATTACTTTTGTCTCTCGTGTTATCCTACGGCCTGGGTTTCCCAAACAATCGCATTTGAACTATTCACAAAGGTCCCACAATTAAAACAACGTATAAGGGAATTCACTGTGACGTCAGGGTACTGAACTCTCTCTAAGTAGACATGAGGTCTAGGCCCTAACTCTCAAACGGCTCGTACCCAAACCAGGCCGAGAATCGTTCTCAATCACCCCAGGAGTCATATTTCCTAGAGGTCTCAAAAAGTGCCTCAACTCCAGATCTGGTGATGAATACAGGAGGAAGAAAAGTAAGTGACAAGAAAAACGAGTTCCCACCACTAAGTTTTCTTGTGACCCTATCTTCGCACCATTAAATCTCTAAAATAAACAATTTTTCTGTGTCAATATTGGGTTTCCTCAACTTTCATGCTGCAATTTGAAACTGCGCTTGAGCGAACATCACTGAACTGTTTTTGGATGTATTGATCTCGCAGCGAACAAGGTGAGAGGTCAAAATGCGCGTCGACTGCTTTCAGAATTGATACGCAGCCGCGAAACTTGCAAATGCTGTAGCGTTTTACACGAAATGTCATAAACATAACTATATTACAACTATTAATGATACAAAGTACCGAACCCGAACACTAAAACTTTAGTATACAGAGTATACTTGACTTATCTTGTACACAACTAATGAAGATTGTAAAAGAAACCTTCTTGTATTCTGTGTCATCCTCCTTGATTGGCTCTGCAGATATACCCGTACGGCGTCCACCGGTTCTCTTCGGTGGTTCAATCATAATATCATCGTCATCTTGAGCTTCCTGATTCCGGCCAGCTTCCTAAAATGAAAATGGTTTGAACGACAATCATGGCTAAAGCGACTATTTTTCCTAATGTTGGACAGTGCTGGCCACTCAAAAAGCTCAACCAAGTTCTTTTCAGGACCTTTGTTGATGACATGCAGCGATACTGTGTACTTCTCCCACTGATGATGCTAGTTAATGGTTCATTTTTGATATGAGTTTGAGTCAAATCACATCAAACTCCCTCACAGTCAAACAGTAGCAATAACCTGTCTGACGTAACATGCATGACACACACAATATAGAGGAAGGAACGAAAGAAATCGAAAACAATGCTGAGAGCAAGGCTGAATTACTGCAGTACACGTAAGCAGTGAAAAGGCCATACTAAACTCGTTCGCATGCTTACTTTGCAATGGAGAATGTATAACATTCTATGAAACGGCTGCCATATGAAATCTAACAAGACAAATAACAAGTTACAAGTAATGAAACAAGTTTTTTCTAGAAACTGAGATACAACCCACATTTCGTTTAATCTAGTTATAAGCAGAACAATCGGTCTGATTTCGACTAGTTGTCGCAGTCCTTCAAATACAGGGGCCAAGGGAATTTTCGCAAAACGATCGATAGGACCCTCATAGGTATGGGTCGATAATGAACAAAAAAAAAACAGGTTAGTACGAGAAGGAAAAGGAAGGAAAGGGTTCTATGAA